ATGTGAGGGCGCTTACACTGATGGCAAGTCTGTTGGGATTTCGCGGTCACATGACTTTCGCGCTCACTCCTCGTTTACACAATTTTTATTTATTTTTGAAGAATTTTTCATCTGGAATTGCAACAGACTGCAAGCAAGTCCCAGTCTTGAGCATCATACAAACATTTACATTCCATATGGGTTATGTAATTTCAATAAGATTAACAAAACATATCAGTATTTCATACATGTGTATACAATAATGTTGAGCTTAGTTATTAATCAAAATTAATGCTCTTCCAGACATCATTCTTGGTAGGTTTGTATTTTAATAGTTTCTTTTCTAGTATCATGAATATTTGGGATAAAAAAGAAAACTTTTATTTTCCGTAATATCTCCCTGTTACCAAATATAGATGCTCAGTGATATAGGTAAAATCTGGTTCCCGGTCACAACACCTGGTATACACTGTGACTGTGGTCGACTACAAATATATGCATTTTTTGAAAGTCTGTATCATTTACAATGAATCATCTTGTAAATGGCTAATCTCTTAGTTTATCCGTCAATGTATATAATTATCTACATCACTGGGCACCACATATCATACTTTTATGTATTTTCTATAATTCTAAAATGGGTTCCTCATAGGTTACTATCTTAATCAAAACTGAAAAAAAAATAGTTGCGCTGTTTTATTAATTTACGGAAGGCATTCAAAAGATTAAAGATCCATTCTCTTAGTGAATCCATCAATGTATATAATTATCTATATCACTAGGTGACATAAATCATATTTTTATGTGTTTTCTATAATTTCTCTTGTTAGTTTTTGATCAGATAGACGTATATTTCTCCATGGGGGACTATCTTAATCAAAACTGCAAAAAAAAAAGTTACACGGTTTGAATCAGAGGCAGAAGTTGAATCAAGCGAAGAATGAAAGTCAATGGGCTAGCAAGACGAAAGAATCAATCCATACCTCTTATGCAAATTAGTCACATGATATGTGGTCATTTTGCTTGGTATAGACACATGGGTACTTGAGACCTTGTGTCTATGAACGGACAGGGCTTGAAAATTGGGACAGACACTACTAATTCTAAGCCAAACTTGTCTACTAGAAATTTTCAAAAAATTAAAAAATGTCCCTCCACTAATATACCAAAATAAGTTGGTTATTTCCATGTATTCACAATTGTTTACATGGCTTCAAGTTCAAAACCACTAATGAACTACGCAACATTATCATTCTGCCACTAGCTTTTGAAATTGGGAGATAACTCAGACTCTCAAGCATTTTTATTGATTTCCAAATCTGACAGACCTGCACTCATTTTCTGATCCCGGATAGAGGCTATATTTTGACAAAACAAATGCCATAAGAAGAATTTAGCTTCAAGTTTTACTTTTAGTATAGCATGAAACTTAAAACTCAACTTGCTCCTAAAATAGAAACAAGTCCAGGACAAATGAACACCATGAGAAATGTTTCAGTTTGTCTTGAATTCCTCAAGATATTTGTCAAAGAACTCTTGTTGGTGATAACTCCCCATGCCACTGTCTGTTATTTATATATCAAATTATCCATTACGGTTGACATTTGACACAATGTCAATAACTTTAGGCAACTTACAGCACCCATATGAGTAACTTAATTCAAGTCGTGATAAAAACTACATTCAAATTAGAGTTAAGATGATACTTTATTAGGCTTAGGAGAAAAATGTTTGTGTACTAGTAACCTGATCTTTTAGTTTGTAAGACCTAGCGTAAATCTTAGGTACTCAGATGAAAGTTTTACTTCAAGCAGATGCATTTTATTTTATTTTATTTAATCTTTATTTAAACTTTATAGTTAAAATACCTAATTTTATGAAAGTCGAGTATAAGAAAAGTATTACTGTAAAATACTTTAATTTTGCTTGCAACTAATTTTCGCTGAAGGAATGATTCAGTGATAATAAAATCCATTCAGACAACGCTGCGCATTGGTCGATATTCCAGTCTCTGTGCATACTTTAAGATATTCTCATAATAACCTTATATTATTATTAGATACCTGGCTATACACTATTTTTTATATATGAATATTTACAATACATCATTAGATACAAGAAAAATATATATTTTTATATTTTTTTTTTAAATTAAATTTAAGGACATATATATTAAGCCGTTGCACTGTGACGTCATATGTTTTCATCTTTGCCAACCAGACCTTCACATGCTCATAATCTGTTGCGATAACGTTCCCCATAAGTTGTTTTATTACCAGGAACAGTTACATGTATAGTGAGTAACAACAGCAGTGAATAACGACATTATTTTAAAGTGAAAACGGCCTGCACACATTCATGCAGAGCGTAAACACAGGTGATGGCCTATAGGAGGACATGGTTCAATTTAAAGTAACCTTTGACATCTAGTCACTTATTCTGTATCTTCAGGATTAAAAAATTTATCAATGAGATGTACAAAAATTAAAACCCTGAAATTAAAGTGTTATATATGCATTAATCGGTTTTACTTTCATTGCTGTAATTTCTCTCTAGGTAACTGTGTTGGTATTAATCCAGTGTTTGTGAAGATGCATGTATACATAAGTTCAATTTGTAACCAGATCTTGTAATCACTGTAATTTGAGTTCCATATAGAATTAACATTTCATTTGACATATACTTTGCATTATTTACATCAGATATTTTTGAGCTTCAATTAAAAAAAAATATCATGAAAACATAGTGTAAACTGCTTTAATTTTGCTACAGACGAATATTGCAAGTCAGTAAAAAATATGAAATTTTGTAGTAACGAAAATTTCTTACGAAGTGTTTGACTTTTGGGAAATTTGATTTTAATTTAAAAAAAAAATATCATGAAAACATAGTGTAAACCGCTATCATTTTGCTGGAGATAAATATTGTAAATCAGTAAAAAACATGACATTTTGTAGTAATGAAAATTTCTCACGAAGTGTCTGACTTTTAGGAAAATTGATATTAATTTAAAAAAAAAATATCCTGAAAACATAGTGCAAACAGCTAAAATTTAGCAAGAGACGAATATTGCAAGTCGGAAAATTTCTCACGAAGTGTCTGACTTGGTTTTCATGAATGAATCCCTTAAAATTCCTAAATCAAGAAAATTCCTAGTAGGGAAAATTAAATGGTAGCTTAGTAACTGTACTTGTATTGCGTTAAGTGTATCAAACAAAATCTGTTGAACCACTATAAATTGTTGCCTTAGGATGTTCTGATGCTCTGTTTTAATATGCAAGTAAATACTTGGCTAATTTTCGCTGGGTTTAAATTTTGCTGATTTACCATTTCAGGCATATTCAGTGGGTTTTAAATTCACAGTTTTATCATTTAAATAGTGTGTTCTATGCTAAATTTTACATATTCACTGGATTTTAATTTAGTGCATTTTCCATTCAGTGAAATAAGCAAAATTAAAACTCAGTGAATAATTAACCCATTTACAGTAGTTAGCAGTAGAATTTTAATCCGTGCCTGAAACCCACTTGAAACATATTAGTTCATGTATATGGTACGGTTTTAGACACTTTAAAAGGTGACTGACTTAATTTCTAATGCCACATTTTTTCCGTATTACATCATTCACAGTCTGCGCTAGTCACTGCACATACCACAGTAGGGCTGGTTGATAAGTCATGTGACCCCAGACTGTGTGGCCATGTTAACATCTTAAACACCATTTATTTGATGGTATAATTAACCAGGTTGATGCAGCAAGGGGAATAGTACACAATACACAGTCAAAACATGGCATACTTAGCATTGTTGCACGCATGTTTACCTATCTATCATTCTACAAGCATTGTGTCTTTTATGGTTATTGTCAAATGCCTTTCTTACTTTATTTTGCTTTTTAAAAGTGATAACAAAATATTCAGTAATTTTTATCAATAATAAAAAATATCGTCCGGTCCATAAATTTTTACAAAACAGCCATATATTTCCTATTTTGATATAATACTAATTACAGAATATTTACGTGACAGATTAAATCATACTGAAAAGATTCTAAGTAAACAGCGTAGACAATGATGTGTCATGATTGCATCCTGCACTCCCAGGGATTGAAATCTTCCCCTTTACTTCCAATACTCTCATCTTTGTAAATTTAACAATTTTCCCTGTATTTGATATTCAGTGTAGACTGTATCTTGTAGATTATGCTACCAACATACCAACATGTACAGAGGCTTCTCATTGCAACCTCAATTTTCCCCAAGTGACTCAAATATTCCACATTTGAAAGGAAGTAATTACAATTTTGTTTTCCATTGTTTATTTTTCTTCATTCATTGAATAAGTATAGTGGTTATAAATAGATCAAAATAAAAATTAATATTTCATATTTTATACATGGAATGTTACCGGTACTGTATTTTCTTTATTAGAAGAACATACAAAACAAACAATAAATTATTGTATGTTGATTCATTATTTTGACATATCTTTGTTATATACATAAAAAGTTCACACACTACAAACAGAAATCACTTGTAGGTAAAATTTGTTAAATAGGTAATAACAGTATATAATATGAGTAGTGTTTCAGAAATGGCTAAAATCCTGAAAATATATTTGAAGTGCAATAAATTGAACCAACCATCTCAGTAAACTGAAAACCTCTGTAAACAGAAAATACCTCTGTATACTGATGAAAACACCTCTGTATATTGAACACTTTAGTAAAATTAAATCTCTGTAAATACTGCATTTAATCATCATTATTGTAAAGCAGACTATTGTAAATGAAATATGAACTAACTTATATAAACTAAATGCCATTATAAACTTTGTAACCTTTGTACATTTTACTTCATTGTACCCCAAACACTACTGTAAACCACACTTTTTTCACTGGATACAATTTACTGTAACCAGTGTTATGCATATACATGTACATTGTAAATACTATACATCTGTGATATTGATATTTCTGATTCATATGTTTATGTTTGTATTTTAGGTGGTAAGGACCATCGTGGAGGACCAATTCTATCAATACCTATTGTGTCTGATCCTTCAGAATTTTCACCACAGGACTTTGCCACATGTATCGCCTACCTAGCCAAAATACCAAGGTAAATCAATTAAATTACATGTTACACAATGTAGAATCAGGCTATAGTTAAGTTGTGCTTGTAGAGTGTTGTAGATATCTGCATTCTTGTCTGTTGCAGACGATATCAAACACGAAGATGGGATCTTTTGAAATTTTTCAGAAAATTAATGCTTTTTTTAAAAGGTGACCTGTAAAGCTGTTGTCTTCACAGGTGTGTGCTGTTTCCCTCACAGCCAGTCAGTAGTTGTTTGCTGTTGCCCTCATAGCCAGGCAATATGTATATGCTGTTGCCCCCATAGCCAGGCAATATGTATATGTTGTTGTCCTCATAGCAAGGCAATAGGTGTATGCTGTTGCCCTCAAAGCCAGGCAGTAGGTGTATGCTGTTGTCCTCATAGCCAGGCAATAGGTGTATGCTGTTGTCCTCATAGCCAGGCAATATGTATATGTTGTTGTCCTCATAGCCAGGCAATAGGTGTATGTTGTTGTCCTCATAGCCAGGCAATATGTATATGTTGTTGTCCTCATAGCCAGGCAATTGGTGTATGCTGTTGCCCCCATAGCCAGGCAATATGTATATGTTGTTGTCCTCATAGCCAGGCAATATGTATATGTTGTTGTCCTCATAGCCAGGCAATAGGTGTATGTTGTTGTCCTCATAGCCAGGCAATAGGTGTATGCTGTTGTCCTCATAACCAGACAGTAGGTATATGATGTTGCCCTCATAGCCTGGTATAGGTGTATGCTGTTGCCCTTATAGCCAGGCAATTGGTGTATGCTGATGCCTTTGCAGCCAGGCAATAGATGTATGCTGTTTGCCTCACAGCCAGACAGTAGGTGTATGCTGTTGCCCTCACAGCCAGGCAGTAGGTGTATTCTCTTGCCTCACAGCCAGGCAGTAGGTGTATGCTGTTTACCTTGCAGCCAGGCAGTAGGTATATGCTGTTGCCCTCATAGCCAGGCAATAGGTGTTTGCTGTTGCCCTCATAGCCAGGCAATAGGTGTATACTGTTTCTCTCACAGCCAGGCAATAGTTGTATGCTAATGCCCTAATAGACAGGCAATAGGTGTATGCAGTTGCCCTCATAGTTAGGCAATAGGTATATAATGCTTTCGCAGCCAGGCAATAAGTGTCTGCTGCTTCCCTCACACGAAGGTAATATGTGTATGTTGTTGCCCTCACAGCCAGGCAACATGTGTATACTGTTGCCCTCACAGCCAGGCAATATGTGTATACTGTTTGCCTCACAGCCAGGCAGTAGTTGTATGCTGTTTGCCTTGCAGCCAGGCAGTAGGTATATGCTGTTACCCTCATAGCCAGGCAATAGGTGTTTGCTGTTGCCCTCATAGCCCAGCAATAGGTGTATACTGTTTCTCTCACAGCCAGTCAGTAGTTGTATGCTGATGCCTTAATAGACAGACAATAGGTATATGCTGTTGCCCTCATAGCCAGGCAATAGGCGTTTGTTGTTGCTCTCATAGCCAGGCAATAGGTGTAAACTGTTTCCCTCACAGCCAGTCAGTAGTTGTATGCCGATGCCCTAATAGACAGGCAATAGGTGTATACTGTTTCCCTTACAGCCAGGCAGTAGGTATATGATGCCTTCGCAGCCAGGCAGTAGGTGTAGGCTGTTGCCTTCACAGCCAGGCAATAGGTATATGATGCCTTCGCAGCCAGGCATCAGGTACATCTATATGCTATTGTCCTAATGGCCAGTCAATAGGTGTACACTGTTGAATACAGCCTATAAAACAGACATGTTTATAGTGTATTTTGGGGAAAGATCTGCTGGAGATTTAACCACATGTAGTTTGTCACTGTAACACAAGTTGTAGAGTTAAAAGGCAATGTCCTGAATTGTGAAAAATAATCTGCTAATATTACAACTCATTCAAGCAAGATTAATTGCATGGGTCTTATACGAGGTACTTTGTTTTATAGTTATTCATGAAACATACCTTCCTTACATACCAGTATTTGGAAGCGTATGTTCTCCATGGCAACTAAAGTTGTATGTAAGTTTGTTTAATACACGGCATGCAATTCAAGAAGAAAGTACAATGTTTTGATTGTTATCCAAGGGCTGTGAACAAATTACACAAAACTCAAAAAGGTGTGAATGATGAGGTTTGAGATGGAACAGATCATGCTCCTGAGTTACAGTGATATAACAGTGTCCTGTCATGCAGCTTAGGTTTGCTCTATTTCTTAGAACAATTATTAATGAACAGATCACTGAGTTATAGTGATATAACAGTGTCTCATGCATTCAGCTTTAATTATTTCTCAGAGCAGCTATTGAATTGCACTCAGATATTTTTAGGTTCATATGCCATTTAACCGTTTCACCACTAGATTTTCTCACCTAAATTTGTCTGCATTTTGTTTCTTATATATCTCAATATTTCTGGAAATAAACCTGAATTTTGGAGCTAACAGTCAAAATTTGAGTAAATTTTCATTTTTTACTCAAAAGATTTGGCTATTTTTGTTCCAATCTTCTGAAGGAAAGTACAGACTATAAACAGGAGTACATCTGTAGTTTGTAAATTTGTGATAAAAAGAAGGATCATCTACTTGTGAATTGTGAAAAAATGTTCAACTGTGGTGCCAATCCTGTTATTTTTCTCAGCAGTAAGATGGGATCAGGACTTGAAATTAAAACCATTTCTTGGAAGCCTACTGGGCTGTCTAGTAGTCTCTAGTTTCTAGTTTTAAAAGCTGCAGTCTCAGGGTGATGTTGGGTAGTTCATCGAATAATAAAGTTCTATATAATATATTTTTCAGTGTTACCTTCAATAATGGGATGTAATCATTTATACAAATGAGCTAACATTATTGCTGCATGTGTCTATTTTATCACAATAGCCACAGGGCTAATAGCCATATGTGATAATGTTTGGTATGTTATTGGTGGTGAATAGCTGTTGTTATAAATTGTGACAAATATTAGTTACAAAAATGTCTGGAAGGTTGATCTAATAAGGAATGTAAATGAAATGATGTGTTGACCTCTAAATGTCTGCGAGTGGTACTGTAAAACCATTTATTTTCACTGATAATAAATTTAACTACTGTGGAATACTTTATTTTCGCTGGAATTAATTTTCGCTGAAAAGGCTTTTTGGGCGTTTTGTACATGGAATTTATTTTCACTGATTTTTTGATGAGTTTAATTTGAAATATAGGAAAAAAAGTATATTCGCTGGATTTTATTTTCACGGAAGCATCCTTTCAGCGAAAATACCAAAAATAAATTCCAAGCGAAAATAAAGTATTCTACAGTATTTTGATATTTTGAGTGTATTTACTGTGTTCATGAATTTGCCTGTGAAACAAATTCATTGTTATTTTATACATTCACATGAATTTAATTTAGCAAATTTACTCATTACTGAAATAACAAAATTGAAACCCAGTGAATGATTAATATATTTACAGTAGTAAGAAGCCACTGACTGGGCCCATGTGTCATATGTTAGATCATCATTTCTTATATCATATGGGATTCAATGACAAATTAAAGTTTTGTGTCTACTGAGCATTTGTGCAATATGGAAAAATATTACAATATTAACTCTTCAAAATTAAATTAACTATTGTTGAAAATATGCAATACTCATAATTTTCATAAAAGTATAAATGTTTTAAAAATATTTACCCTGATTTTCTCACTTCATTTAAATCCAGAATACGCTTTAGAGTTAATTAATTACCCCGGTAATACTGTTAACGTCATTAACCCCAAGTATTTATGGGTTCCCTTCATTGGCCACTGTACATGTACCACTATTCACCCGTTAACGTTTTGTTTTTGACTATCATTCGAAATTTATAAATAATTCTTATGTCTTCATAAAATTATATAAATGGAAAAATTCCTAAATGTGATAAATCTTTTCATTATAACCATGGAAACAAACACAAAAAAACAGATGAATGATTTTGCAATTTTCGACATTTCTGTGTTGTAATTGGCATGGACCCAATATTTGAAGAATGAAGAAAACATCATTTATTTTCCTGTTTACTAGCCACCACAGTGCACTGATATCAAGTGTCAAATGTCAATATTTCGATGTGTTCATTGTTTTTTGACTACTGTTATTTGAAATATTTGACTTCTAATATCATTTGCGTCTTTATTTGCATTTTTTAAATTATTTAAAAATGAATCAACACAAATTACTTGCGTTCTATATACATAATTGTAATCTGGGTGTTCTTTGCTTTTTAAAAAAAAAAAAAGATGGCTGACTGGCAGCCATTTTGTTTTTTGAAAATGTGGTATCTTATGCATGCTTTGTTAGTTTTAGTTCAAATTTGGTAAATACATTGTACATTTAGTAATGACTTTTACATATTTAAGTTTGATTCGATCTAATAATGTGTAAAATAGCCAACTTTTACTTTGTTGTTTGTACAATTGATCTCCCCATAAAGCAACAATGTAAAATCTTGAAAACATATTTATTGAGCAAAGTACTATGAAATAATTTATTTTCAAATAAGAAATTCAAGGCCACAGAGTGTGATTTTAATTTTGTGCAAAATAGTGTTACAGTTTCTTTTGTTCTCTTGGTGCATAGGTTTCATTGCTTTTCACATTGTGGATGATAATAGAAAACCCTAACATTTTTTTTTCCCAGCAGCATTTAAAAACTAAAGTAAATGGTTTCTATTGATCTAAACTGTATTGTAATGTTGCCAGCTCACAACTTTGCAATGCAATTGACAATCACTGTTCTGTTGCATTGACTGGTCACTGACTTTTCAGTGTAAAAATACAGAAAGTACATCGTATACCAATGGTCGGCGATCTCCAGTACAGGGCACTGGGTTCAGGGTTCGTCTCTGTTTTTTATCAGCCTTTTTGTATGCAACTGGATCAAACCTGCCTCGATTTACAGTACTTTCTCTTCTAATGCGACTTCATTTGGAATTTGTTTTCTGTCTTTGATAATTTATGTCACCAGCGATTTAGTAGTAAAAATTGGTATTGTGAGACTTGCTTTTTG